TTCGTGTGTTTCACTTATACATTTTTGCCATTACATCAGCCTTATACATTCCATAAGACAAACCACATAGGTCCTATAAGAATGCAGAAAAGGTATGTGTGACCGCTTATACATTTCATTCAACACATGATCTTCATTAACTTTTTGCAAGGCGTCTGCTTATTAGTTGACTTATACATTTTATGAATAATCAGCAATAGAAATTTGCCAAAAGGTATAAGTAGATTTCTATCCGTGTACCCCCTTCCCTTCCCGGGGCGATGTTTTATTTTTTCGATAAAGTAGATCCATAGAGGTAACTCTAAGACTAGAAGGTCCCGAAATTACGTGCTCAACTTTTTGGCTCAGCTCTGGTACTCTCTTCGGTCCCAAGCTAATCGATTCACCCCTCGAAACATAGGAAAAACCAATAACCCCTCATTTTATCTGTCAAACTTTCATAGCGAATCAAAACAAACATTGCGTAGTACTAGAATTTCGACTAGAATGTTTCAGAGCGAAATATGCATATGATGTGTTGAGCCCGGTTTACATCAGAGGGAATGTTATATAGAGGCTAGACAGAGATAACAAATCAGGATCAATCGCCGATTATGGTTTCGCATCTGGCATGAGAACAAACGAAAATCATTCTATTGACGATTGTTACGAAGTTAGCACGTATACACAGGACTTGGTCACTACATACTTGACTAGCCTATTGGTCCCAAGCAAATCGATTAACTTACCCCACAGACAAGCAGACATAACACATTGAATATTTCTCACTGTAAAACATCGTCGCTAAAACATTACCGCTATCTGTTGAGTACACTGTGGTGGGTAGTACCAACAATCAATACGAAACTAACGATTTTAAATTGGCTCACCACTTTAGTAGCCTATTGGTCCCAAGCAAACGATTAACGTACCCTATTCTAGTTGAAATTCTATTACTACACTATGTTTGTTTTGATTCGCTATGAAAGTTTGACAGATAACATCAGGGGTGTGTGGATTCATGCAGAACATGCAGGGGTGAGTGAAATAGCTTGGGACTGCTTGGGACCGTTGTTCTGGTACTGAGTGAGCCAAAAATAATAATGTTTTTCTTCGGGACCCAGTGGTCTTAGAGTTACCTCTATGGTAGTACGCTGAACAGATGGCGGTAGTGTGTAAACGTCAAACTCAAGGGAAATGACTATGCGCGCCACAGGTGGCGGTACTACCAACTACGATACTTTTAAATTGACCGTTAAATGCTTGTTCGATGAACAACTTGCGAGTGTTATGTCTGTTTGTCTGTGCTTACCCCATTCTAGTCAAAATTATAGTACTACACAATGTTTGTTTTGATTCGCTATGAAAGTTTGACAGATAAAATGAGGGTTACGTGGATTTTTCTATGTTTCGAGGGGTGCATCGATTATCTTGAGACCGAAGATACACACTGAGATTATTTTACCGAAATCTGTGAAATTTTACCGAAATCTCAACAGCTAAACGTTGGTAGACAGTTCGGTGATTTTTCACAGTTTTCCTGTAACTAACATAACAACCATATCCTCAAACATAACAGAATGCTGATAATGGCAGATCCTCCTGCGGCTCCTTTGTTGTTGTGCAGATGTGCAGATTTGTAATTGAAACGGGCATTGGCCCTCTCACTGCAGGAGAAAGACGAAATGGGTGCATGATATCAATATTATTGCGTCCAGGGAACGGTCGAACCTTGGGTCGAACACAAGATTCTTGGTTGAGCGAAAAATGTGGAGTTCGAGAATCGGCAGGTCAAATACATGAGTGTCAGTGCTCATGCAGACGCGGAAGGCATCATGCAGCTGATCCAGTAGTGTGAACCTAAAGGATGAAGCTAAAAAGCCATCAGATCCGAAGCGTCATCAACGAAATCTTCAACAAATGTGGAATCAATCGTCACGTAATAAGGTAAACTTTATGTCGTTAAAGCATGGCATTCAAGCGTGACTCATTAAATGTAGTTCAAATCCTGGTCTGGCGGATAGAATTTCGATCTATCAACCACGGAACCAATTTAATAGATTTTAGACCAACAATTGAAAAGGTATTATCAACTTTTATAAACAAAACGTTGATTATTCTTTCCTCGCTAAAAGAAGACAAATTTCCAGCAGCATCGGATAGGGGAAACTTTCCACAACCTAAAGATGGTGTTACAGTCGAAATTCGCTGGATGGGCCACCACCTCGGCCCAACTAACGAATTTGATTCGCTAGTTTGGCCAACTGACAGAAGGCTAAAATTTGTTGAGGGGTGTGTGCATCCTTTGTTGAAAAGATTTCACAAAAAGCGGATTGAAGCAAGTTGCTTGAAGCAGAGTGGAAAAAGCAAATCATTAAGTACACAATTTTTGTTTTTGTTTTCTTCTAGAATTTTAAATGAAACTCAAATGTTTCGAGCAAATACCAAACGTTAACATTCATTACATATGATTCGCAGTCCTAACCGCATATGGTTACCCCCTGGAAGAATTTATGATCGATTGTCAAATCTAATTTGATATGAGATTTTGACATCCAGTTGCTTTTTAATTGGGTCATGGCCCAACCAACGGAGGCCCAACTAAAAAGCAGCCCAAGTTTTAAAAGCCCAACCAGCGAATTTGGACTGTAGTTTGTGTAGGCCAGCCTTGAGTCACGAGAACACGGTTTCCGAAATTTTGTTCGCAACAACTGATGTGCTCTTTTCTGTTGTTAGTCGTGATTTGCTCGATTGGTTCCGCTATTTGACAGCTCAATTGGTTCCCGAGATTCTATTCGCCAGACTATGAATATAGCGACTATAGTGCCATCCACCCGCCACTGGGTACACTCAAAGGATTTTCAAATCTAAATAGATTAAAAGTTACACTAAATGGATCATTTTAGATGGCTGAGTTTTGAACCCACCACAGTTTTCATTTGGCGCTACTGTATACGGACGAACCAATGTAAAATACTGTGGTAGCCACAGTACGGTGCTGTCAAAACCTCAGCATCTTCAATGATCCATTGCAACTCTCCTTACCGACGCATAGCTTTGTATAAAGAGAGAGAATACTAACTAAGTATAAAACTGGTTTATACATTGGATGGTATAAAATTGAGGTATTCTTGTTGTATATTAGGCGTTTATTCGGCAGATTCGATTATTTTTCAGTTTCATGTGGTTTGTTAAGATTGAAAAACATAAACAAAAAGTTGAGTGAACTGTATGGAGATACGTTTTTATTTTTATTCAACAACATTATGAAGAAGTTATGGTTGAGGCTGTTAGTGGCAGTGATGACTGACATAGATGATGATGACTCGGATACATATAAAGAATCGAAGGTTTTCATTTGATTTTTCGAAGTCACGGCCAGAAAACGGTACCATCCAATTGGATCCATGAGCGAGAATAGTCACATATCCGTATTCCGGTAGTTCAGCTTCTCACAACTTCACCCTCACGCCCTGCAAGATGTTCCTCATGATACTATATATATATAGATATATACTGAGGCAAATAGGCTTAAGAATTTCATAAGACTCGACTTATGGACGACCTCGTGGACGACAAATATGAATTTCATAGGCACGACTTATGAAAGATTTTCGTCTAACATAGCGTAGCTCTTATACTCCTTTAACCATTCCATTTTTTTAAGCGTTGAAAGACGAGTGGCCAATACACGGGCTCCGTAATCTCAGCGTCCATGGTTCGGTTCCAGTCTGCTCCGATTTATTATTTTTTGTCAACATTATGTTTCATATAAGGCAAATCAATGAAATTCATGCTGATTTCTTGTGGCTAAAATTCATAAGTGTTTCTAATGGAATTCTTACGTTCTTTTGCCTGCGTGTATACTATTATACCATAGAGGTAACTCTAAGACCACTGGGTCCCGAAGAAAATCATTATTATTTTTGGCTCACTCAGTACCAGAACAACGGTCCCAAGCAGTCCCAAGCTATTTCACTCACCCCTGCATGTTCTGCATGAATCCACACACCCCTGATGTTATCTGTCAAACTTTCATAGCGAATCAAAACAAACATAGTGTAGTAATAGAATTTCAACTAGAATAGGGTACGTTAATCGTTTGCTTGGGACCAATAGGCTACTAAAGTGGTGAGCCAATTTAAAATCGTTAGTTTCGTATTGATTGTTGATTATACTCCCCGTAAATCGGATCCTCATCATACTGCGACACACGGGAAATGGTCGATCCGGTTCAGGTTGTTGTACGACGAAACTAATCTCTCCCAGATACAGTACACCTTCTTCTCGCATGGAAGCACCTTGTTTTAAATGGTGTACAATTTTTCGATCACGTTGCCATCTTATTGATTCGCCAAGGCACTTTCCATCCGTATACATCAACTCAGACCCGGAAGTAGCCCAACGACCGAGTGTTTTTTATGTAGATCTGGCGTTGAAATGACCAGAAGTTTTGACTATAGGAAGAACCTCAGAAGACTCGATCACCGAACGGAATAGGCCATAGTTAAAACATCACCATCTAAAATAATGATGCTGCATTTAAAGAATGATTTATAAGCACTTACTGAAGTTTTTTTTACACTTGAAGCTTGGATAAAAATACTTGTTTGAGACTTTTTATGTCGATTCATGACAAGAGCTAAACAGAGAAACGAATTGTTATACATAATCATGAACTATGACATGTTATTCATACTCATGCATAAAAACAAAACTGGAATAGATTACTTTTTAATCAAAGCTATGAATAAACAAAGCTAAATAAAATAAAGATTAAATTTTAATCTATTTTCGATTAGTAATATTTTTGAGTGTAGATTCAGAATAGCGTGCAGTCTATTTTGTAAATTTTTGTCAATCTTCCAAATTTGGGTTGTTCTCAAGTGGCCGTGCAGGTATTTTTCTACGAACGTGTAATATTTGTTTTTGTTTTCATTTTCGCATCTGCAGTCATGCCTGGGACCGAAAAAAACGGGAAAATCCAGCGCGCGTAGTTCCGACAGATAAACGGATTGTGAATGTCCTCCAAGGCAACGTCCATTGATCCTGCAGAAGACGCCAAATCAGTGCGGCAACAACAGGAACCAAAAGTGAGCAGCAGCAGCAGCAATAACAATGAACAGCAGGAAGATGAGCTTCCGCAGCATTGGACCAAGATCGCTTCCAAGAAGCATCCGGGCAAGTACTACTATTTCAACGTGACCACCAAGGAAAGCCTTTGGGAACATCCAGGTAAGACGAAAGCACTTGACGCGGAGAAGAATATTATTCGGAATGTTAAAGCGTCCAAGGAAAAGTCCAGTCCCAAATCGGAGAAGGTGATTCAACTGAAGAATGACACTGTACAGTTTAAGAAGAAGAACTTGGCCAAGAACCGATTGGAAAAGTTGCAGAAGCAGCTGGAGGTTGAGCGGAAGCAAGATGCCGGAAAAAAGAAGGTGGAATTGGAGAAGGTTGAAAAGGAAGCGAAGACTCCGGAGACTCCAAAGAAGAAATCTCCGGTCAAATCTTCACATGTAAAAGAAACCGAAACCGAAAAGACAACACCTTCGAGGCAGAAGCGAAAACTAGTTGGATCGGATAATTTGTCGGGTTCGCCTTCGAGCAGGTCGAAAACAAGTAAGCTGAGTCCGAAGAGTAAGGTGATTTCCAAGAAGGTTTCCCCTAAAGTTGAACAGAAGAAATTAAGCAATGCTGAAAATACCAAGAAAAAGGGTCAGGAAGAACCGGGAGCAAGTAAAATATTGAAGTCGTTTAAAATTCCGAAAAAAACCAAGCTGGAATCTGTTTCGTCTTCCATTTTTGTGGACATTCAAAAATTGACTGAAGCGAAGCCAGTTGATTCCCAATCTCCAAAGACTGATTCGATAAGAAGTCTACCTCTAAAAGATCCTGTTCCGAAAGAACGGAAAAAAGTTCCAGAAGCAGTTGCAAAATCTTCTCCTAAGGTCTCATATGCTCAAAAGCTGCTAGAGGCTATCGAACGACCTCAAGCTTCACCATCGCCGAGGACCGTAAGCGGAAAGGCACCTGCCTTTACTTCAACCCCAAAAGTACAAACCCTAATCCGAGCTGAAGTTGACAGTCCCAGTTTTGTGAAATCTCCAGCCAACGAGCGTTTGGTTGGAATTCGTGAGAAACTCGCCCAGGAAGTGGCCCTCGAGTCCACCCTTCTAGACGAGGATGCCGAGATGACCGATTTGAGCGATGCACTTCCTCAGGAGCAACACTCTAGCGTGATGGCGGAAGCAATGGACTGGGAAGACATTCCGGAAGACGTTGCCCTTCGGGAAGTGGTTGCCGTTCGACAGCTGCCAATTAGCAAGGAATCCGTACTGGATGCAACGATTCCGGGATACGGCACGCAACTGTTTGAGCAGGGCCACTTCCAGAGATACGTTTTACTGGTGATGGACACCAACGTCTTCCTATCGCATCTTAAAGGTGTTGAACGGCTGCTGGAGAAAGGATTTCCCCGTAAGTCTGTTTTGGCAGTTGTACTGAACGATTTGATATCGATTTTTTGTTTCAGACATTGGTCAACCGATTCTGATCGTTCCGTACATTGTTCTCCAGGAATTGGACCGGATCAAGCACAGAGAACAGGGAACACCGCTCTCGCAAGCGGCAGCTCGCTCAATCCGGTTTCTTAACGATCACCTCAAGCGGCGTGACCCACGCGTGATAGGGCAATCCTCCATGGAAGCAGCTAAGCAGCTGATCCCGGTGGAAAATGCCGACGATAACATCATGAACTGTTGTCTGCAGGTGCGGCTGATTATTGCGGGAATTGCGACAGATCTGATGCTGCTGTCGAACGATGTCAATCTGCGCAACAAGGCCTTGGTGAACGGAATACAGGCCTTCGGCTATGGGGAACTGATGGCCGAAGCGGATCGTATCCGGTTCGCGGCGGATGAGCAGATCGCGGGTCGGTGATGTCCGGGGTTGGTTATGGCTTCAACGGTGGTATTATCGTATTGTTACTTGGTACTTGGAAACGTGAAACATTTCCGAACTGATATATATTTTGAATTTGTAGAAAGTAACGAAGATGTTGAATTATTTTTTGATAACATGTTATTGCAGGAACATTATGTGAGATTTTGAATTTTTTGAAGAAATCCTTGGGAACAAGTGTGGTTGATTGCATACGGAAATAGTTGGAGAAAGGGATTCTTATTCGTCGGGACAAGTGGGTCAGGAGAGGCAATTTGGGGGGTTTTAGATGGGACAAAGGAACGAACGACAGCCTTGCGTTGCTTCCTACTGAAATTCAACTGGCTAATGCACGAAAACAGCAATAAATGGGATCAGTTTTCCTGGACTTCAAGCGAGCTTTTTATTCTATGTGTGTCGATATCCTTTTGGACTCTCGAGCAAGGATGTCAGAGATCAGGATTGCAAATTGGAAAGCTGATGAAATGACTGTATCAGGAATTTTTAATAGTGAGAGCGACGGAAGGCTAGGTTGTTTGATGGTTATTTCAGAACAAGGTTGCAAATGCTCATTTATTGTTGTTGTTGTTTATTGTTTATTGAAAAATTCAACTGACAATTACTGTCTAAATGAATAAAACTTAAACTAAATAGTTACGGTCAACGGTACGGAAAAGGCCAAGTAGCATCCACAGCAGTTGACGAGATGCCAAGTATCTCCAGCTTGGCCAGCAAGATATTATGGTCCACGGTGTCAAATGCAGCTTTTAGATCCATATACGCCGTATCGACTTGCCATCCTGAATCCATGCATCGCAGACAGTTAGAAGTGAACTGCACCAGGTTCGTGGATAGGAGCGCTACGGGTAGAAACCGTGTTGTTCTGTATCGATATAATTATTGCAGCGTGCGAACAGAGCACCTTTTATGATAATCTCGAACAGTTTTGAGCGGCACACAGGGAGGTGATTCCACGATAATTTATGACATTCCGTTTATCTCCTTTTTTGTGCACTGGGAACAGATAAGAAAGTTTCCAGCGGCAGGGGAACTCACATTGCTGTGCCGAGAGATTGAATAGCCTCGCAAGTGGAAGGCAGAGATTGGCTACACAACGTTTTAGAACTGATGACGGAATGCCGTCAGGTCCGGAGGCGAACGAGAGCTTCAGTTTGCGTGTTGCGGCTATCACCATGTCTTCTGAAATGCGCGGAATAACGAAACTAAACACATCACGTGGCATCCCAACAGCAGCATCCAGCACTTGTGTTGGCGAAGCGGAGAAATCGTTGAACACTTGCTTGAAATGACGAGCAAACAAGTCGCATTTTTCTCTTTCACTATTAGCCGAGTCATTCCCGAGAAACATGGAACAAGGCAACCCGGATTCCTTCCGTTTTGAGTTGACAAACGACCAACAACTTTTCGGATTCGTGCGAAGGTTTGCATCCGTGCGTCTCACGTGTCGATTATAGAGAAAACGATTGTAATTTCGATAACTACGACTCGCAAAATTGAACAGTCGTTTGTAGTACGGCGAGCGAGAGTTACAATACTTTCGGAGGGCGACAGAGCGTTGACGTTTTAGCACGCGTAGGCGTGGGTTAGACCATGCAGGCTTTAGCGGAGGTCGTCGAGCTGGGACAATGCGGAAAATAGCATCTTCCAGTGCAGCACTGAAAAAATCCACTGCATCATTCACGCTAGCGGCAGTTTCGATAAATTGCCAATCAATTTCCGCAAGTGCATTGTTCAATGCAACATAATCGGCCCGGCGAAAGTCCAAAGAGTAGCACTTAGATGACGGCGTAAAATAATCGGCGCAGGTAAACTAAATGACACGACGAGAGCGGGATGATCGGCATCTAGAAACAGAAGTGCCCGGTAGTGCGGAATCATTTGCCAGGAAAAGATCTAGCAAACGTCCATTTCGGTTTGGAAAAGTATTCACTTGTGTGAACCCGTAAAAGTTAAAACCGTCAAAAAGAGCACAGCAAGCAACCGGCATATGCGAAAGCAGTGGATCAATTAATGGTGTGCCACTGTCTGTAAAGCGCCACTGCAGACCAGCTTGATTGTAGTCACCAAATACGAAAGCGGGAGAGCAGGGACTTAATTGTGACGAAATTGACCCTAACGATTCCACAGTCGTTTTTGCGGTCGGGAGGCAGGTAGATTGCGCCTACACTAAGCTTGCTTTGTGGAAGTTCTACGACAATCCACAGCTGTTCCAGTTGACTGGAAATGGGTGACGTACTTACGTAGCTGGCTAGTCTAGTAGATACTGCAATCAGGACTCCGCCTCCGCGCGATTTTTGACTGTTTAGGGCAGACCGGTCAGTTCTGAAGACGGAATAGAGTGACCCGAAAAGTTGCGATGAGTAAATTCCGTCCGTCCGGCCACGTTTCCGTCAGCACAATCAAATCATATTCGGCCTCCGCAACAGCCAGGAAAAACGAGTCGATTTTAGTCCTCAGCCCACACACGTTTTGGTAGTAGTTCCGGAGACCATTCGAGGAGCAATCACGGGAAGTAGAAATCGAAAGGACATCAGGTACCGAAAGCTCGGAATCGCTAACATACTCGCCTGAGGTTGCAGGCCGGAAGCCCCCGATACCATCACCGACCACAGGACCGGAACGATTACGATGGCGGATGACTGCAGCAAGCGCGACTGGGTCGGGAGGTTCGGAAGCTTCCTCAGTGCCTGTTTTAGGGTGTCCCGGATTCGAGGAAGAGCAGGTGGCGGCATAAACTTGCTGGTAGTTGGCAGGACGGATGCATGGACATGATGTGGCTAGTGTGGAGATCGCAGAACCGGAAACACAGCTAGAAGTTGAAGCGGTATCAGGCAAAGGAGAAGCTGAATCGTCAATATACTTGCCAGTAATAGCTGGTTGGAAGACCCCCGACCTACATCTACACTCAGGGCCGAGACGACTATGCAGAGCGCTGGCTGGAATAAGCGCGACTGAGGCAGAGAAATCAGGGGCTTCCACAGTGCTATCCACGATGCGTCTCGGTGGTGATGGTGGTGGTCCAGAAGCAATAGAGGTAGCAGCATTATTCTTGGAAATCGTGGAAACATCATGAAGCTTTGCACTGGAACACGGAAAGTGATCAGGCAAATTACTTTAACTAATGTATACACACTTGCCTAAAGACGATGCTTGGGAAACCCCACCACCGAATTGAACGACTATGATGGCAGGAAATAGAAGGACTTTGTTGGAGTAAATCGGTAACGCAGTGTGCTGATCACCTCCTTGGAGACCGAACGTCACCCCTAGCAACCTAAGTTTTCTTAAATAAACAACGGTGGAAAACTTTTCATTCCTGTTCAAGACTCCACTCAAGCTAGTCGTTAAATAAAATCCATTCTACTTTTAAACTTTGCTGTTCCGGTTCTTTCTAACAATCAAGAGGTTATGGGCGACTCACGCAAGGATTTGGTCCACGGGATCCCGCAGTTCTCGGGCACCGGTTTCGACAATTGGCAATTTCGAGTGGAGAAGTATCTGAAGTCCGTGAAGCTGTTGGATATCATCAAGAAGGATCCTCCGATGGAAGCGGCCGAGCTCACGAAGTTCCAGGAAGATGACGGTAAGGCGGCGTTCCTGCTGACGTCATTTGTTCATGACGATTTGCTGCATTTGGTGCGGGACAAGGAGACGTCCAAGGAGATGTGGATGAGCCTTGAATCCGCCTACGCCAAGAAGTCCGTCTCGTCGCAGACATTCGTCAGGAAGCAACTTGCGAAGCTACGAATGATGGAAGGTTCGTCTGTGAAAGATCACCTGAAAACCTTCGAAGAGCTGATCCGACAACTGAAGCTGGCCGGAGCGAAGCTTGAAGAGAACGATATTGTGTCCCAGCTGTTTGCTACCCTTCCCGAGTCGTTCGATCCGTTGGTTACGGCACTGGAAAATCTAGGTGAGGAAAACCTAAAACTGGATGTTGTTCGCGAGCGCCTTCTTGCCGAGGAGCTCAAGAAAACCGACCGGGCAGCGAATTCCTGCCAAGAGAAACCTGCAGCATTCCAAGGATCGAAACAGAAGCCTGGTAAGTTCACCGGAAAGTGTAACCGTTGCCAGAAGAAGGGGCACAAGGCCAAGGACTGTCGTGTGAAGTTGAAGACAGATGGGCGCGCTGAAGCTAACGCTGCTGCTGGAGGTAAGGCGGTGGCTTTTATGACCGGGAGATGCTCCCAAACAAAGGACGAGGGAGCAGTTTCCTTTAAGATGGATTCCGGAGCCTCGGACCACCTTGTGAATGTGAAGCACTGTTTCGCCGACCTCAGGAAGCTGAAGCACCCTGTCGTCATAAACGTGGCGAAGGATGATCAATCCCTGATTTCCCAGCACAGTGGCACGATCAACGGCGTCAACAAGGAAGGTAACTATATCAGCTTGAAGAACGTCCTCTTCGTACCAGATCTTCGAGCGAACTTGCTATCTGTGAAGAAGATGGCAAAAGCGGATCTTGATGTCACATTCACGAAAAAGGAAGCGATCATGAAGCAAGGTCGTGACCTGATTGCGAGATGTCCCATGCGGGGCGATTTTTACGAGCTCGATCTCCGTGTCGATACGGTGGCGGCCAACATGTGTGGAGCTGTGACTGGTAACCTGTGGCATCGTCGACTGGCTCATTTGGGGAGCAAGAGTTTGCAGACACTCGCGAAGCATGGCATGGTAACAGGTATTCCCGAGAAACCAGATAAATTGGATTTTTGTGATGTTTGTGTTCTCGGAAAGCAGTGCCGAGAACCATTCACGGGTACTAGAGTCCGTGCTACAAGACCTCTAGAACGAGTGCACTCCGATGTGTGCGGTCCAATTACACCAGCGGCTTGGGATGATTCTCGGTACTTCGTCACCTTTATTGATGATTACACGCACTTTGCAGTAGTATATCCCATCAAGAAGAAGTCCGAGGTGTTCCAGAAGTTTCGAGAGTACGAGGCCATGGCGAGTGCCGCTCTGGGACATTCGATTTCGAAGCTGACTGTCGACCAAGGGCGCGAGTATTGCTCCAATGACCAGCGTGATTGGTACGTTTCCAAGGGGATCCAAGTCGAGCCAACCGCAGCGTACACACCACAGCAGAATGGAGTGTCCGAACGGTTCAATCGGACAAT